TCAGTGCGGATGGTGGGGGGGCAGTGCCGGGGAGTGGGGGGTGGGCGTCAGTGCCGGGAGGGGTGGGGCAGTGCCAGTGTAGGTGGGGGCAGTGCCAGTGTGGGTGGGGGGCAGTGCCGGGGAGGGGATGGGGGGCAGTGCCGGGAAGGTGGGGGCAGTGCTGGGGAAGGGGTGCTGTGGGGGAGGTGCTGTGGGGGGGTTTGTGGGAGGGGCTATGGGGTTGAGGGGCTGTGTGGTGGGGGGTGCTGGTGAGTGTTGGGGGGGCTGTGGGAGGGGGGTTGCTGTGTGGAGGGGCTGTGGGTGGGGGGGATGGCTGGGGGGCGCTGTGTGGGGGGGATGTGTGTGGGTGTGGGGCTGTGGAGGAGTGTTGTGTGGGGGGAGGCTGTGGGGGGGGGGGTTGTGTGGTGGGGGGCTGTGGGTGGGGTTGTGCGTTGGTGGGGCTGGGTGGGGGGGCAGTGGGTGGGGTTGTGTGGTGGGGTGTGCTGTGGGGGCTGCTGAGTGGGGAGGGGTGGGGAGTTGTGTGGGGGCTGTGGGGGGGGGCTGTGCGGGGGGTAGTATGTGTAGGGGCTGTGGGGGGGCTTTGTGGGGGGGGCTTTGTGGGGGCCGGCTGTGGGGGGGTGGGGGGGCTGTGTGGGGGGGGGGGCTGTGTGTGGAGGGGCTGTGGGGGGGGGGCTGTGGGGGGGGTAGTATGTGTAGGGGCTGTGGGGGGGGCTTTGTGGGGGGGGCTGTGTGGGCTGAGCTGTGTGGGGGGGCTGTGTGGGGGGGCTGTGTGGGGGCTGTGTGGGGGGGGCTGTGTGTGGGAGACTGTGGGGGGGGCTGTGGGGGGGGGGGCTGTGTGGGGGGGGGGCTGTGTGGGGGGTAGTATGTGAAGGGGCTGTGGGGGGGGGGCTTTGTGGGGGGGCTTTGTGGGGCGGCTGTGGGGGTGGGGCTGTGTGGGGGGGGCGGGGTGGGGGTCTGTGTGGGGGGCTATGTGGGGGGCTTGTGGGGGGGCTGTGTGGGGGGGGGCTGTGTGGGGGGGCTGTGTGTGGGGGGGGGGATGTGTGTGGGGGGTGTGTGGAGGGGGGCTGTGGGGGGGGGCTGTGTGGGGGGGGCTGTGTGTGGGGGGGGCTGTGTGTGGGGGGGCTGTGTGTGGGGCAGTGTGGGGGGGCTGTGTGGGGGGCTGTGTGGGGGGGGAGCTGGGTGGGGGGGGCTGTGTGGGGGGGCTGTGTGGGGGGGGCTGTGTGGGGGTGCGGGGAGTTGGGGGGGGCGTGCATGTGGGGGGGCTGTCGTGTGGGTGGGGGTCATGCGGTGGGGGTGGGGGTCGTGCTGTGGGGGGTGGTGGGGGGGTCATGCTGTGGGTGGGGGCCTGCGGGGGGGGGGCCAGTCGTTGGGGGCTGGGCGTTGGCAGGGGCGGTTGGGGGCCTGTGGCAGGGGGCGGTGGGGGAGTGAGCTGTGGGGGGGGGCCGTGTCGCAGGGTGGGGGCGGCGGATGGTGGGGGGCGGCGTGGGAGGTGGGGTCGTGCCGGAGGTGGGCAGTGGTGTGGGGGGGCAGTGCGGTGGGGGGGGGCGTGTGGGGAGGTGGGGGGTGCCGTGTAGGTGGGGGCGGCCATGTGGTGGGGGGGGCGATGGGGTGGGGGCAGTGCGGAGGGGGGGCAGTGCTGGGGGGGGCTGTGGGGGAGGGCTGTGGGGGGTGTGTGGGGGGGCTATGGTGAGGGGCTGTGTGGGGGGGGTGCTGGTGGTGGGGGGGGCTGTGGGGGGGGGCTGTGGTGGGGGCTGTGGTGTTGGGGGGCTGCTGGGGGGCGCTGTGTGGGGGGGACTGTGTGTGGGGGTGGGGCTGTGGTGTTGTGTGGGGGGGCTGTGGGGGGTGGGGCTGTGTGGTGGGGTGGGGTGGCTGTGGTTGGTGGGGGCTGGGTGGGGGGGGCTGGGTGGGGCTGTGTGGTGGGGTGTGTGTGGGGGTGTGGCTGAGTGTGGTGGGGAGTCTGTGGGGGGCTGTGGGGGGGGGCTGTGCTGGGGGGCTGTTGTGTGGGGGGCTGTGGTGGGGGGCTGTGTGGGGGGGGCTGTGTGGGGGCGGCTGTGGTGGGGGCTGTGGGGGGGGGGGCTGTGTGTGGGGGGCTGTGGGGGGGCTGTGGGGGGTTAGTGGAGGGGCTGTGGGGGGCTTGTGGGGGGGGCTGTGTTGGGGGCTGTGTTGGGGGCTGTGTGTGGGCTGTGTTGGGGGCTGTGTGTGGGGGCTGTGTGGGGGGCTGTGTGGGGGGGGCTGTGTGGGGGGCGTGTGGGGGGGCTGTGTTGGGGGGGCTGTGTTTGGGGGGGCTGTGTTTGGGGGGGCTGTGTGGGGGGGCTGTGTGGGGGGGGGCTGTGTGGGGGGGGGCTGTGTGGGGGGGGGCTGTGTGGGGGGCTGTGTGGGGGGCTGTGTGTGGGGGGCTGTGTGGGGCTGTGGGGGGGGCTGTGTGTGGGGGTGTGTGTGGGGGCTGTGTGGGGGGGGCTGTGTGGGGGGGGCTGTGGGGGGGGCTGTGTGGGGGGGGCTGTGTGGGGGGGGCTGTGTGTGGGGGCTGTGTGGTGGGGGCTGTGTGGGGGGGTGTGTGTGGGGGGGTTGTGTGTGGGGGCTGTGTGTGGGGGCTGTGTGTGGAGGCGTGTGTGGGGGGGCTGTGTGGGGGGGGTGTGTGTGGGGGTGTGTGGGGGGGGTGTGTGGGGGCTGTGGGGGGGGCTGTGTTGGGGGGGGCTGTGTTGGGGGGCTGTGTTGGGGGGCTGTGTTGGGGGGCTGTGTTGGGGGGCTGTGTGGGGGGCTGTGGGGGGGGCTGTGTGGGGGCGCGGTGTGTGGGGGGGGCTGTGTGGGGGGGGCTGTGTGGGGCTGTGTGTGGGGGGGGGGCTGTGTGTGGGGCTGTGTGGGGGCTGTGGGGGGGGCTGTGTGGGGCTGTGGGGGGGGGCTGTGTGGGGCTGTGTGGGGGGCTGTGTGGGGGGGGCTGTGGGGGGCTGTGTGTGGGGCTGTGGGGGGGCTGTGTGGGGCTGTGTGGGTGCTGGGAGGGGCTGTGTGGGGGCTGTGTGTGGGGCTGTGGGGGGTTGTCTCCCTTCCCCCAGCCCTGGGAACATTTTGAAGCCAATGTTATTGCTACTGCTGCTGCCCTAGCTAACTCAACATAAGCTGAGGGTCGATACAGAGGACCTTTCAGGTCCTAGGAACTCAATAGGATTATCCCCGCGAGAAAAGAAGGGGAGGGTGGTAAGCAGAATTTGTTTCTCGCTCACATACATCGTTGTTAGAGTGTGGAATGCCTTGCCACAAATGGCTATTGAAGCATTTTAAAAGGGAATTGGATTGGGAAAAGAAAACTGTATAAAGGTTCTTTTTTTCAAAACAATACTGTTTGTTTCCTCAGCCGATCCTTTAAGTCACTTCTCTTGTCCCCTATGATCTGGACCACATAGCTTCTCTGTGCTCTGGCTCTTGAGCAGGTCACAACCAGGTGAATAAATGTCTCACTGAAAGTGCTTCTTCCACTTCTTTCCAAAAATGTATATTGCGGATCGACAGTAACATGCAGGGTAATTGCTATAATGTGGAGCTGTAGGTTGCTTGCTCTGCAGTATGTGCATGCACAATGTGCGGGAAGTGACACCAGCGGCCATCTGAAAGCCAATATTTTTAAGTCATTTTTAAAATTGTTTAATACAGGCCCAGTCAACGAGTTGATGTGGAGTCGAGAATGGCTGGTTCCAAACTCGTGTAATTTAATTTGTGAGGAGAGCATGTCTGCTGTGCTTCCAGAATCGCATGATTTCACAGTAGCCTTGTGCTATGAGTAACCATGTTATATGTGGGGCCTACGCTAGTCTGGGATGCTTTAAAACTAGATTGCCCCGTAAATGCAAGTTTTTATTTCAGTATATGTGACTTACGAACGATTCAACACTAAACACGATTATGCTTCAGAAATTAGCTTTCAGAGATCTCCAATCTTTCAGATATCAGTCCGTTCAGATATTTCATGTGTATCTCTAGTGGTCCACAAATAGTTATTTCACCTTACAGTTACTCGTGAAAGACGTACATGTTATAGGTGCCACAAAATATATTAAGTACTACAACAGTTTGCATTTTATACAACCTCCTTCATGAGGTGTAGTGTCTTGGAGTGCTTTAACAGTTTGACGCTGAGCTAGGGGGAGTTGACTCTAGGCGCAGTCCAAAAGGAAGGACGTATGGTGTGATCTGAAGACAGGAAAGGAGGGGGCAAGGTGAAGGGCTCGAGGGGGAGAGTTCCAATATTTCAGTGCATAGTGACTGCAAGTACTGTCACAGGTGGTGGAGTCAAAGAGGATGAGGGACATGACGGAGGCCAGAGGCAGCAGGTAATGACGTGGGGGAGAGGTCAGGTCAGAGATGTAGGGAATGCCAGGCCGTGAAGCGATTTTAAAGTGTTAGGAACTCCTAAAACACACCGCAGTACGATTCTGCACCCTCTTTACTATTCTATTGTGGTTCATGTGGCACAGACTGCTACGCTAACTTGAACTGACAGTAACTTTTTGTACACTTGTAACCTTTAACCATTTTGCCCATTTAAGCCAGCTCTTTTTATAGTAGCAGAAGCAGCGAACCATTCGTTTTCATGAAACTTCTAGGGACATTTGATGCTAGGAAATCCTATTTATTTTTTATTAAGGATCTATGGGGAGATGGATTTGCCTCTACAGGCAAACGCCTACAGTGAAAATGTAAAAGTGATATTGTACTGATATTTTGTTTCCCTTCCAAGATATATAACAAGAGAATTTTCGCCATTTTGCTGATATCGAGCCTGAGCAAGACCCTCATTTTTTTAAAGAGGAATCGATCAAAAAAAATTGTGGTTACACTTTGTTTCATTCACTTGCTGTCTGCAGACTGTTGCTTGTTTATATAATTCAACTTGTCCTGGTTGTTCTCACTGCAGTGTTATTTTCAATCCATCGTGAATTCCCGAATTGCTCATCAAAAATGAATCTTCAAAACATTAGTCAATGCTAATTCTGAATTTTTTTTTTGAAGGTGTGGGCCATGTGTGAGGATAGCCCCGGCTTTCAGCAGATTGAGTTCCAAATACCCGCATGCCATCTTCCTGGAAGTTGACGTACATCAGTGTCAAGTGAGTAGGCTGAAAAATACATTTAAATATAAAACCACATTGCACCTGCGATGATCTGAGTGCTCCCACTTTATATTCTAAGGGTTTTACGCAATACTTCCTCTGATCAACAAAGGGGAAAACCAGATAATACTCTCAGATTTATGCATTCAGTTGCAATTTAGCTGAATATCGTACATGAGCTTATAAATTCTTCAACCGTGTTGGACAGAACTGGCTTTTATTTTGTGTTCTGAAGTATTTTATAATAATAATAATAAATATTTTGCACTTGTATCCAGACTCTAAACTTGACATGGCAGAAGTCATAAATCATAAATTCATTGGGGTGAATCATAAACTCAAAATAGGCTACCAATGCTCATTGAGTGGCTAAAGGATGTACGAAATATGATCTTAAATAAACTGCTTGGGAATATCGCATTCTTTGTACTGTGATTTAAGTGAAGTATAGTAATGTGGTAGTTGATCTGTGTCAGTGAAAGACATTTCACTGACAACTATCTCACGAGCCTCACTGTGCAGTGTAGATATTGTGTGAAATGCAATGTGCAGTAAGAACTTAAAATTCCACCTGGAATTGTACTGTTGCTGCACTACCACACAATCGATGCATAATCTCTCTCTGCCAATAAAAAAAATCCTGTTTGTTATCCAATATGTGGATATAGGGCACTCAGCTGAATCTATGAATACTTCCTATCAAAGAAGTTGAGTTTATAAGTGTGTTCAAGATGTATTCACTCTAGTAGTCATCGCTGAATGTGGGATTCAGTTCTGTTGTCTCTCCTGTTCTCTGGAGCAGTGGTTCTCAACCTTTTTGGGGACAGGATCCATTTGTAAACCTAGCAAACAACTTTAGTGCAAAAAACATCTGGCTTTCAAAATATTTCTTACCCATGATATATAATATAATGCAGCAAATAGTAAAATATAGTATTTGTATAAATCCTGGGTTCCTTAATGAGAAACCCAAGCTCGCTTCTCTTTAGATGAGTTTATCAAAGCTTATAGAAGAATTCCCACTATCAATGTTACTTGCAACAGGACAGGTTTAACAATGACTCCATTTCAGTGACAACGAGACCTGCTTCACTGACTAAAATATGCTCCAAACTCTCCACTGCAGAATTACAGTTCAATGATGGAATGTTGCTTCTGATCGGTTCATCTCTGGCACCTGCTGCTATTTAAATAACTTTTACAGACCTCTTTGCCAGAAGAGCTGGCAGATCCTAAATTCTCGACATTCAACAACAACTGCTATGTTGTTCATATTAATTCAATGAATGGCCTTTGTAGTTATCACCAACAACTTGCCTTTTATATAGTGCCCTTCACCCCGGGCAGCTTCCCCGAGCGTTTAAAGCAGGGAAGACAGGAAGGGAATGCGTAGCATTTCCAGTTACTACTATGCACAGTTGTCTGCTGCGTTCTGGCCAAAAAATTTTTTTTACAGTCACTCCACTTTACAGTACTCAGCAGTGTCCCACAAACAGTCGAGAGGAGGGTAGTAAAAGATGTCTGATCTCACTAGCCCAGTAACTGGAGATGTTACGCAGCAGGGAGGACAGGCTAAAAAGGTTTCAATTACTTTATATCATCCACAAGCTGTCATGCTGGATATACAATTACAAGGTCCTTGTAAGCCAAATGGATAAAGGTTTGAAATAAATTTACCTATTGCCAAATATGCGCTTTGCCCACAGAAGTAGAGGAAGGGAGTTTCTCCCAGGTGTCCTGGCGAACAAATCCCCCAAATAAACTTGGTTGTTCCCTTTGTAGCTGTTTTGTGAGCGATTACTGTGTGTAAATTGGCTGAAGAATACACGCCCATTCACTTCACAGTATATCCGTTGAATGATTTGAAACATTCTCCTGAAAGGAAAGATGTCGTATCAAAATGATATCTTAAAGCCTTATACAAGTAATGTATTTCTGAGGGCATTTTGATGTTTTACTGTTTGCATTATGTATCTTTGAAATTTCTTGTGTAAAAGTTTATACAAACTCTCAAAACAGAACTTGAGTATATGGTTTACATTAAAACTATAGTTAACTAGTTTTAGAAGTGGATTATTTGAATTGTTTCTAATTCATAGTATTCCTGTTTCAGCAAACAGCAACGGCCAACAACATTTCAGCTACACCATCGTTTTTATTCTTTCGAAACAAAGTGCGAATTGACCAGTTTCACGGAGCAGACGCCAATGGATTGGAAGAGAAAGTTAAACAGCACCTGGAAAACGATCCTGGAATTAATGAAGACTTGGACATTCCCAAAGGATACGTATGTAGATTTAATGTGCCTGTTTCTATGATGTAAAGCTCTATGAAATGACTTTTAACAGTTGTTTTCAAGTTCAGTAAACTCCAGATAACTCAACCTTGGCTTAATGTGTTAAGTCGTTGTCCTGGCAAAATATCGCGACCATGCAAAATATTAATTTGCTTTAGTTGTGACTCTGCTTAACATGTAACTTGTACCCGCGTTACATCAGTCCTTGCCAGGCTCCACTGGCTCCCCATCACAGAACGGATCAATTTCAAGATCCTCTCACTTGTCTACAAATCTCTTCACACCCTAGCACCTCCTTAGCTTTCTGACCTGCTTTCTCCCCACTCCACTACTTGCTGTCTCTGCACGGCTGGCTCTGGCCTCCTGCTTGTCCCTCGTCCCCTCTGCTACACCATTGGGAGCTGCACTTTCAGCCACACCGCCCCCAAGCTTTGGAACTCTTCCACCAATCCCTCTGCCTTGCCCCCCATTTCCCCTCTTTTACATCACGATTGAAGACCTTCCGCTTCAACCGAGTGTATGGTCACCTCCTCCCTCCCCTATGGCTTGGTGTTAGGCTCTGCCACTGTTAAGCACTCCGAGACGCTGCTCCACATGAAGGGCGTTAGTTAAATGCAAGTTGTTAACATGGTCAAAACTCCAGAACAAGAGTGGTACAAACATCAGCTCAACAATAACAACTTGTACTTATATAGCACCCTCCACGTAGGGTAACATCTCAAGGCACTTAACAGAATAAAGACGGTCAACAACAAACAAGAAATATGGTGCTTTTCATGTCGGGAGGGTGTTTAGAAGAATTGAATGAAAGAAGAGAAATGGGAAATCCCATGTAGGCGATGGATTTTTATTTGCTTTAGATCTTTTGTACTTAACTGTTAGTGGAGTCCTGTAGCTCAGTGGTTAGAGCACTCTCTTTGCAAGCGAGAGACCTGAGTTCAATTCCAGGCAGGGCGAAACCTTGGGCAAGTTTCCTTACTCCACACGCCTAATAATAATCCCTCCAAAAACCCAAAACAATAATTAAATTGGTCATTTTCAATCTACGACTGTTTGTGGGACATTGCTGTGCGCAATTGGCTGCCGCGTTCGCCCACAAATATACAGTCAATTCACTTTACAGTGTGTTCTGTGAAGCGCTTTGGGACGTCCTCCCGACGTGAAAAGCGCTATATCAAATGCAAGGATTATTATTATTATTATTAATTCATGACTGAATACTTCACTATGAATTTAACAGACTAGTACCACTGTTGTGTCATGTTCTGTGGGCTCTTTAGATTTTTAGCAAAACGTTGTTTAAAGCTACACGGATACGTTTTATTAAGACTTCTTGGAGACGAACTGTGATTAATGATTATGGGAGAAACCGCCTTTAATATCTTTTCAGCATAGAATTTATAAAGTGTTCTGAAGACCTCTAGTGGCAAAAAGCTAGTACTCCAGCAAGGTCCTGGTGTTAATTGTAAGTAGACTAATGTGACTTTCAAATGGACATGACAGCTTACTTACGTTTGGTTACCAGAATGCTGGATCCAAGTTTCTATTGCCCTATGCCTATAATGGATGCATGTGTTTAATATCCCTTACTAGGTTATTGAAGAATCAGTATGTAGACTTTACTTAAACATTACATTTTAATTCATTTTGTATTTCAGATGGATTTGATGCCATTTATAAACAAAACTGGATGTGAATGTCTTAACGAATGTGACGAACATGGATTTGACAACTGTTTTCGAAAAGACCCAACATATTTAAGATCAGATTGTGATGAACAGGTGAGACAATTTTGATGGATTTAGAAGAGAATTAAGTTTCATGGACTACTGTTTCCCTGAATTTGTCCTGCAGCTGTAGTACTTTGAGTAAAATGCACTGTTTTACACATTGTAACTCCTTGTTTATTTTGAGTTGCACTAAAACATTAAGCTATATAACCTTTGCACAATACTTCAGTTGGGTTGGGCCAACAACAACAAGATTCTATTTATTGAGCGCCTTTCACATCGGGAGGACGTCCCGAGGCGCTGTACAGTTAGGTCAGGACCTGAGCAAGGGGGAAATGGTCAGGGTGAGGGGAGGGAAGGGAGGGAGCGAGGAGGGGGTAGAGATTCGAGAGAGGAGCTGAAGACCCAGGAATCACCCTTCCTGCTAATCTGTTTCAACTATAAATTATTCTGTGTAAATAAATCCTCCCTGGTGTTTGTCCCAAACATGCCCTTCACACCCTTTCCCTCTTCCTTGAATCATAGTAATTGTGTATGTATTTTAGTGAAAGTCTACATTTTACATTGAAAGCAGGTGACTGTCCTGCTCTGTATCAAAAAGTTGTGTGTTCAAGATCCAAGTTAAATTTATTGAAAAGCTTCTTGGGTTTTTAAAGTTTCCAACTTCTAGGTGTGTATGTTTTATATCTCCATTCTATGCAAGTTGTTTAATTTGAGCAATCAAAGCTCAATTAATGTACTCCTGTATTTACAAAATCCGATTCAAAACTCTGCCGTCCATATCCCCATCAGTACCGAACTCTATGCCCACATCACCCCAGCCCTTGCTCGGCTCCACTGTCTCCTTATTGCAGAAGGCATTGATTTTCGTGATCCTCACACTGCTGTACAATTCACTTCATGCCCTGACACCTCTTACCTGCAAACGCCCCATTCCTCCAGCTACTCTCTTTGCTCAGCTGGTTCCAGCCTGCATCTCCCTCATCCCCTCCACTCTGCAACTCTATCTCAGTCCCTCCATCTTTCATTCTGCTTGTCTGTCTTCCTGAATACCTTCCTCTTTGACTGCCTACAGTCACCCCCCTCTTTCTGGCTCGGCGTCAAGCTCTCACTATTAAGCAACAACAACAAAATTACATTTGTATAGCCCCTTTCACGGAGGGAGGACGTCCCAAGGCGCTGAAAAACACTCTTAAGATGTTACCCCGCATGAAAGATGCTACACAAATTCAAGTTATTCTATTTGATCAATTGAAGCCCGATTATGTACACTTGATATCCTTGTTGGTTTATGCCATGTGACATTTGTCCTCCAAAATGTGTTTATCACCGTATTATAATTGAATCATAAGAATGCATTGGAAAACCTACAAATGTGTAGTTTGTTTCAAAAATAGCATAATTTCTGCTGCAACTAATTAAAAATTGTTTCTCTTTTATTTTGAAAATAGCTTCTTATGACAATAGCATTTAACCAGCCAGTCAAACTTTTTTCAATGAGGCTTCAAGGCCCTGAAAACGGTGAGTCCTGCTGTTCTCTTTACCTATTTTCTATCGGCTGTTTTCTCCCTTGCCCCTCCACATGAGGATTGTGACAAACCTTTCTGTTCCTTTGTAATATTATCTTGCTTTTGAATTTTTTTTCTTGATACTAAAGTCATAGGACATGAGCATTTAAAATTTGAGTAACTCCCAGTTCAGGGCTGAATTATAGCACCGTAATACAACCAACTGACATCAGCTGAATTCTTAATTGTTAGTTTTTTTTAAATGCCATTTGCTGCCAGTTCCAATGTCGTACTAACTACAACAAAATATACATTCACTATACTTCACAGTAAGGGGGATAGATATTAAGGGATACCTGGTCCTAAAAATGGCTGTAATTTAACAGTGATGATTTAACACAAGCTCTTTCCATTCCTGACTTTCCACTGTACCTGGAATGTTTGATTTCTCAAACGAGTTTGGTTCGACCTGATTTCAGTGCAGTCGTGTCAGTCTCCTTGGTTTTGTCCTCTCAGGGGAAGCCCCGAAAGTGGTAAAAATCTTCACCAACCTGCCCCGCTCCTTCGATTTTGATGATGCCGAAAGAAGTGAAGCCACCCAAACCCTGGAACTGGCAGCAGATGACATCAAGGAAGATGGAGTTACACCACTGCGTTACGTCAAGTTTCAGAATGTTAATAGTGTAACAGTAAGGACCGATCTACAAGTTTGATTTTAAAAGGCTATTTATTTATTATGTCTTTTTTTGACCAGTCTTATTTTATTCTAATCTCGCGTTGTAGATTGTATAGTAAGTTGGCTGCTGTGTTTTGCCCACGAAATACAGTCAGTTCACTTCACAGTATATTCTGTGAGGCGCTTGGAGACGTCTCAAAGCCGTGATAATGCACTATATCAAATGCAATTATTATTATTGTTGTAGGGTTTTCACCAAACGTTTTGTTGCAAGTAACCTAGATTGGCAGTGAACAGTGACTGTATGCAACAAAGTTGGTTTGAATGCTCCACAAAATCTTGTAATCAAATTGAAAGCCTCAAGTGGAAACTAGAGTACTCAAATGAAGTAACCATTTGCTCCCTTAGTGATCTTTTGCTTTCTGTTGTGACTTGGGTCTAATGACATTTTATTACAATACTGGGGAACAGCGCATCAAAGGTCCTGTCTTTTGGAGGAGATATTAACCCAAGGTCCCACCTGGCTATTCAGGTGGATGATATCGCTCCTATTCAAAAAAGAGAAAACAGTTTCTCCCTTTGTTTCAGCCAACAATCTTCCAGATAAATTGGTCACTTTATTTTGTGGCTGCTTGCGAACATTTTTGGTTGTAAATGGCTACTCTGTTTGCCGACAAATAGTCACTACATTGAACTTTGAGCTGTTACAATGGGATAAGTGCTACGGTAAGCCCTGGCTCTTACCAACCCGTGCTTTATACTCTGAAATTAGGTAAACTGGATATGTCACTCCAGGGAAAGTGCGCATTCCAAACACAGGAAATTCCATGTGTAGATGGCATGCATGGAACTCCGTTTGGTTTGGATATTCTTGGTGATGGGGTTCTGAATGTGTCAGACACCCCACTGACCAAAAATGAACAGGTGCTATGTCATGGCAAGAATTATTAATTTTTCATCCCCTCATATTAGACTTCTTAGCTTTTTTGGGGGAAGGGGAGTGGCATTATTGCATTATCCTGGCAACAACCCCAAGGAGTCTGAATAAATGACCACTTGTTTATATTTTTTTCAAAAATAATTAATTTAAAGAGATGGTTAGAGATTGAAGTAGCTAAACTGAGAGGGAAGAGCAATCTAATAAATGTCAGTTTAACCCAGCTTGTCTTTTCTGTTTCCAGCTGTTTGTCAAATCCAACCAGGGAGAGGAGGAAACCACAAGAATTGACTTCCTTACCTTTATTGGAACACCTGTGCAAGCCACAAACATGGGTGACTTCAAGCGGGTAGGTTGCAATACATACATCCTTTAGCTCTGATGCCTTGAGGTATCTTCATTTCCCAGGAGCTGCACACTTTGATAGTATGTACCCACTTAGTAAATAGTCGCACAACCCCAAATGAATCTTATTTAAGCACTCCCGAGTCATTACTCACATGAAGGGTGAATTACAAGTTTATATCAATACGAGTTGTCAATTAACACTGAACTGCATTATTATGTATTAACTTAAGGTAAGGCGCTATATAACTAAGTTATCATTTGACGCTAATGGCACAGCTTTAGTCAAATGAAATTGGCAACGGTACAAATTGACATCCAAAGACTTTATTGTATTGTGGTAGTGATTTATTTTATGTGGAGTCCCGTATAATGGTTAGCGCGCTCACCTCACAAGTGAGAGGACCCAAGTTCTATTCCTGGGCAGGGCAAAACCTTAAGCAAGTTTCCTTCACCCCAAGCCTCTGTTTATCCAGCACCAAATACAACAACAAGAAGAAGATTCCATTTATAGAGCGCCTTTCACGTCGGGAGGACGTGCCAAGGCGCTGGACAGTTGGTTGTTAGGAATAGGAACCTGGTTGTTAAATCGATTGGCAGATAGGTTTTGCGAGGATAATCCCTCAAAAACAAAATTGGTCGTTCATCAATGCTGTTTGTGGGTCACTACTGTGAGCAATTGGCTGCTGTGTTTTATCCATAAAATACAATCAGTTCACTTTACAATGAAGACTGATGAAGTTTACTGTGGAGAAATGTGAAGTAATACATTTTGGGAGGAAGAATAAGGAGAGGCAATATAAGCTGATGGTATAATCTTAAATAGGGCGAAGTTACAGAGAGACCTGGGGGTTCATATAAGTAAATCTTTGAAGGTGGCCGGACAGGTAGATAAAGCTCCTAAAAAGCATACGGGATTCTAGGCTTTATAAATAGGGACAGAGAATATAGAAGTCAGGAAGTTATGATGAACCTTTATAAAACACTGGTTAGGCCTCAGCTAGAGACTGTGTTCAGTTCTAGGCAACAAACTTTAGGAAGGATATCAAGTAATTGGAAAGGTGCAAAGGAGATTTACCAGAAATGAGGGACTTCAATTATTAGGAGAGGCTAGAGAAGTTAAGATTATTCTCCTAGGAGCAGAGAAGTTTAAGAGGAGACTTAATAGAAGTTTTCAGAATAATGAGGGGTTCGATAGGGTGAACAAGGAGAAACTATTTCCACTGGTGGGTGGGTTGGTAACCCGAGGACACCGATTTGAAATAGTTAAAAGAAACGGGAGGTGAGGAGTCATTTTTTACACAGTGAGTTGTTCAGATCTGCAATGCATTGCCTGAAAGGGTGGTAGAAGCCGATTCGATAACAGCTTTTAAGATACACCTAGTTAATTATTTGGGGAAGCCTAGTTTGCAGGGCTACAAGAAGAGAGCAGGAGAGTGGGATTGATTTGTATAGCTCTTTTCAAAGAGCTGACACACACCATGGGCTGAAAGGCCTCATTCTGTGCTGTATAATTATATGAAGATGTGATGAGGCTCGATATCAAATGCAAGTATTATTATTATTTTTTCTCTCTTTCTAGGTGGTTGGAAAGAAGGGAGAGAGCCACTAACTAAATGAAGGAAAGATTGGAAAAACTGGCAGTGTACATACCCAGGATCACATGCGCAATAATACACTCTGGATTCTTGAAATAACAATACTATGACCTTTTGACTTGGTCCCACTAAATCCTGCTTCCAGATTTGCAATGAAATCATTGTGCAGTTCAAACATTTTGTTGTGGATTGATTACTTCTGATCGATTTGTGCTGAACTGGTGTAATTATTTTCTGGATTATAGAGAATTTGTCATTACGCAAGTCACCTTTTGGAAGCCAGCTGAGCTGAGGAAGTTGCACACTTAACCCTCGTTGTAGCTGATCAACACTCTGACACGGCAGCAGCCTTCTCCATCCTAGCGTCCCACCATGGATTAATTCCTCTGGCAAGATGGAAGCAGTTTCTTGTCCTAAACTTAAAAAGAAATATAGATTACTGCATTTGCTGTATATCAATTCAAATGGTTATTGGTTAATTAAATGCTGTTTACCTAATAATGCCAAAAGATTGCTGTTTTGTGGTGTTTGAAAATTGGAGCTGTGAGGGTTTATTTTTTGAAAATGTGTGTGGCTGTGTAGTTAGGTCCCACCTTTCTCGTTCAGGTATCTGTCTGTCTGATGCTCTTTGTTTGCTTGTGTGTGTCTCTCGCTGTGTCTCTCTGTCTCTGGCTGTGTGTGTCTCAGCAAGCTACTGGTCTGGAGCTGTTAATATGAAAAGACTTATTTTGAAAAAGTCTTCCTCCTAAGAAGATGGTTTATTTTGTTAGAAAGCTCGTGGAATGGATGTGTTGGATTGGTCGGAAAGTGACTTCATTTTCTCATTTTTGACCGATTTTTTTTTTTTTTTTTTCTTTCAATTTTTCCACTTGGTGGCTTGAAAACAGACAAATTGACAACGGGTTACAGAAACCTGGAATCCTGTAGCATAGTAGTTAGTGCGCTCATCTCAAGTGAGAGAACCCGGACTTGAGTCCCAGCCAGGGTGAAAGTTGGCAAGTTTCCTTACTCCAAACGCCTCTGTTCGCCTCAGAATAAGTAGGAACCCGGTTGTTAGTTGATTGGTGGATTGCTTCTTGGGATGATAATCGTTCCATATAAACTTGGTCACAACACACAACTGTTTGTGGGACATCTAGTATGCAATTGGCTGCCGTATTTCACCCACAAATGCACAGTCAATCCACTTTACAGTATATTCAGTGAAGCGCTTTGAGACTTCTCAACGATGTGATAAAGTACTTTGTGAAATGCAAGGATCGTTATTAAACCACTTTTCCTGCCTCCGCGGATGTTTTAAAGGCTCCTCTTCCTCCTGTTCGCCTTTGGTCCCGCTGCATCCAGTTTCTAAGGCACTACCTGTGTTTTAATTTGTATTTTTTTCACCGTTCATCTTCCAGCAATGTTTAAAAAAAATCAATACAAATTTATTTGCTTCCAAGGGCAAAGCATTGCAAAATAATCCAAAATTGATGCTTACTGGATTCTGACCAGCTTAGGTACAAGCCCTTCTGTGTTGCAATGGGGCTATAATTGGTGGGAGGAGTTGTGATCGAGGGTGTATTCACTGCTTGTTACATTAACTGAGTATTTGTTCTTCATTCCACTTCCTTTCTCTTCTCTCTCCTTTACCCACCCACACAATTCTCATTAAAAGGTCAGAAAGCATTACCCTCCTGTCATCTTTCTCTCCCCAATGCCATCTGTCGCAAGCCATGCAACCCACAGCTTTCCTTCAGTGTGTGTCCCTTGCCTGTGTTTTACATCGCTTGCTTAGCTAAATTGTGGATTGGCTGAACTTTATTCTTAACAACCGTGGAATTAAAACACCAGAAAATCTGCGTGCGCTGTGCAATTATTTCTGTAACATCTCCTTATTGATGTGTTTCTCGTCTGGGTTAATGCAGGTTAGCAAGGCTTTACACTTTAAGCACCTGACAATGTAAGCCACAATGCAAAATCTTCCTTTGGAGCTGAGCTGGCTTAGGTGATGTGGTTGGCATAGGAATGTCAGAATTGAGTTAATCCTCTGTGGTGGTCTCGGTGGTCTGAATGAGGCAGGTCTACAGTACTCCATCCAGGCCACCGCTGATGACAGACTGGCAGGCTGGCTCATCGCAGGACATTGAGGGCTCTTCTTCCCACTTGTCTCCTGTTAACTCTTCAAGCCAAAGCCCTAAAGGGTAGGATGCTCCCAGCTAGACAACAGGAAGCTTGCCAGACATTGCTACCAATGATGAGATCTGTTTTTTGTTGGTTAAATTCCAGCAGTTACCCGACCGCCTACTTTGGGATCCCTGAAGCCTTGGCTATGGGCAAGTGGTGCACAATGAGTATCCAAGCTGTATGGTTTTACTCCATACTTGCCCACAAAGTACATCGTCAATCCGTCTTACACTATATCCTGTGAAGTGTTTCAGATGTGATGACATGATAAAGCACTATATTGAATGCAAGGAGCCTGGCAACGACTGGTGTGATGGAGGTACTGGGATTAATCAGTCCTCGGGGTCATAAATGCATTAATGAGAGGGGGAGAGAGTTACCAACTGATCCAAAGATCTACTGGAGCAACAGAAAATTCTTTTGTTCTTTAATCAGTATACATTTCAAGAAATACTCTGCACTTTCAGTCATCTTTATCCCCCGGGGAACTCGCCCCCAGTTTGGGTGTGAAGCCAGCACTTTGGGACATCCTGATGTGAAAGTAATCTTAAATTTGTATCATGTTCATTTGCAAGTCAGTTTTCCACATTCCTAAAAGCAACAAAATTAAGACAGAATTTAAGCCTTACAGGTTGAGATGATGTGAAAATAATCAGTGCGCAGGGTCGTAAATAAATTAGTGAGGACAATTTTATCCATTAGTTCTGTGTTAACTTATATTAAAAATATTTGCAAATGTTATGCCTACAAAATATACACTCCACTTTACAGGATATCATGCCCATTGAGACATCCTCCCGTCGTGAAAATATGAAAAGGGAAAGGTGGCCAACAATCTTCAGAATAAAATTGGTCAATTTTGACTCAATAGCTGTTTGCACAAATTAGTTGCAAATGCACGATCACTACAGTCACAGTGAAATCCCGTGACGTGTTTTGAGACATCTCGACGACACGTTAAGGTGATATATCAAGCGTAGGGAGTATTATTTACTATATGATCTGCTGTAAGATTAATTGGTCACACTTGCCTCTGGGTTAGCGTGCTGTGCGTTCAAGCCTCATATGTGAACTTAAGCTCGTCGACCAGCGTAGGGCTGCAAGAGCACTCTACACTGTACTCTTTCCATATGTTGTGAGTGACAAATTGCTGGAGAAGGGGAGAGAGGGAGGGAGGGTATGGGAGGGAACATTATTTAACCAGTGCGCTACAGCCCTGTTAGACTACAGTTAGCGCCTTCGACCAGCAGATGTCAGTGATAGAGTATAAAAGGGACAAATGTGGTACGTGTCAGAATCTGTCACATTACGCTTGGCTGTATGGTTTTAGGTGACTCTTATACAAACTAAGGTTGGCAGGCGCTGTGGAAAGTGTCCAGCGATGGACAAGGTCACTTTTTTTATAAGAAAAACCATAAGATACGTGTTTCTTATTGAATGGGGACAGGGCGGGGTGATGGTTATAGGGAGGGGAGATGGGGTGGGACAATGAGATTGGGGCAGGGCAATGGCCATAGAATACGGTCTCTTCATTTAATCTAATTTTTTTTGTTCAGTTTATTTTTTTGGTCAGCCACACGCGGAAACCCATCGCCGTGTTTAGGAGTTCCACATTTGTGGAGTCTTCCAAAAAGAATAGTAATAATAATGATAATAATTTGGTCACTCAATGCAGGACTGTTTGTGGGACGCTGCTGTGCGCAATTGGCTGCTGCGTTTTGCCCACACAATGTACAGTCAATTCACCTTACAGTATATTGTGTGAAGAGCTTTGCGATGTCTCAACGTGTGATAAGGCGCTACATCAAACGCAAGGGTTATTATTGTTATAGAAACTCACAGGACAGAAGAAGGCCATTCGACCCCAACGTGTCTTGTGCCAGCTTTTTTAAGAGCAATCCTTTCAGTCCCATTTATCTGACCTCTTCCCGTATCGCTTTGCGACGTCCCAACAATGTGATATATCAAAGGCAAGAATTATTACTATTATTATTGTTGTTGTTGGAGGGGTTCTCAAATTTAGAAATAAAGCCAATCCAAAGCAGTCCTTTCCCAGGCAGCTAAATGTCAGAAAACAGACACCAGAGATGACACCAGGGTCCTGATTGGCGAAAGCTCTTGTTTTATTGGAAATTGCCACTGCCATCTGCTCACCTGTGCAGTTGTGCTTATTATGGCAATCCATTCATACACTGTGTCTCATCTCAGCCAGCTAGTCAATTTTTGTGTGTTGTGTGTAATGGGCTGGCGTTCTTCTGCCTCTCCTGCGGAACAGCAGATGGTGAGAGATGGATTGCTGAGCCGCTTGCGTGATCCCTTGCTAGGTTTGGGTTTGCGCTTACCAGGAGCGGGCAAGACTCCGAGCTCCCAGAACCCACGAACGTAAGAGCATAAGAATTTGCTAGAAGAGAGAAGATACCAAGGTCCATCCGGTTCACCTTCCACCATCCTGCCAGTCGCTTGCACACCACCCGCCCAAACTATGTAATTAAACAATATAATAATAATTTGGTCCACAGCTGCTTGTGGGGCTCTGTTGTGCACAATTGGCTGCCGTGTTTTGCCCATAACATATACAGTCAGTTCACTTTACAGTATATTCTGTCAAGCGCTTTGAGACGTCTCGAAGATGTGATAAGGCTCTATATCAAATGCAAGGATTATTATTATTATCTCCCCACTCCCCGCGGTTCGAGCCCCGTCTCAAAACCCTCTTCTTCAACCGTGCCTTCGTTCACCCTTTTAACCCCACCCTCAATGCCCTCCACCCCTCCTGATCCCAACCACCAGCTCGAGTGCGGATCCCTGACTATGCAGCATCTTGGGATGTCCTCCTGACATGAAAGGCGCTTTATAATGTACTACGTTGCTGTTGTATACTGTATCCCCAAGGTATTATTTCCTAAAATAAATATATCTAATTCAAATTAGAAAGTATTGACACTTTCTGCTTCCACAATCTCCCTTGGGAGCCTGTTCCATATATTTACTACTTGGAATCCCGAAGCTCAATGGTTAGAGCACTCGCCTCGCAAGCGAGAGACCTGGGTTCGATTCCCGGCAGGGCAAAACCTTGGGCAAGTTTTCTTACTCCACATGCCTAATAATAATCCCTCAAGAAAAATAACAATAATAAATTGGTCACTTCAATCCACGACCATGGAAGTGTTGTGCACAAATGTCTGCTGAGTTTCACCTTGTGAAGTCCTTCCGATGTGAAAGGCGTGGTACAAGTGTAATTTGTATTTTATGCACAATTGGTTGCTGTGTTTTCCCCACATAATAGAATCAATTCACTTTACAGTATATTCTATGAAGTGCTTTTGAGATGTCTCAACG